CCAAATGGTGGGCAAAAATCAAGCTCCAGTTGACAATTTGATTTGGGGCTAGTGGATGGACAGAATCCTGCACCGGTTGGAATGGATGCCCCCCGAAGAATACTTTTTGATCAACAACCACACCCGTTTCAGGTTTTCCCAGTCAAACAAAGAACAGCATATCTGCCACTCGCCGTGCTATGAAAAAAAAAGAGGAAACACCGGGGTGCGATGGTTCGCCGCCAGGAGGCTGTGGCGCTTCCCGGACTTGGACGCCTTTGCCGCCGCCATGCTGAGGAGCCCTGTGAATTGGGAGCGGCCGCAGTGGCAGGAGGCCAGCGGGGCCTGCAAGATGGCCATAGCCCGCTGCCTTTCAGAGAGCCTTCGCCAGTTGAGCTTCTGCACATCCCAGTGGGGCGTTTTTTTCCTAAGAACCCGACTGCCATTGGGTTGGAGCTCAGTTGGTCCTCCCTAAGAACCTGACTGCCATTGGGTTGGATCTTTAGACTTTCACTTGCTTGAAATCAAGTTAGGTTTTCTAAACCCACGAAAAGTTGAAGCCTTTTTGCAGAGGGCTCCTTCCAGCAGAAAATGCCCACCACTTCGTTGGGTGAGCCTTCGCGTGAGCCTTCGCGAGCCTGCTGCCGGGATGTGTAACTTTTTTTGTGCCGAGCGTGGGGGGAACAGCGGAACTGCAGGGCCTCGAATGGCATTCACAGCCGGACCCTCTCGAGCCCTTGGGAGAAGGTTCCAACATGATTGACTGAAAGTGGTGCCGGACGGCCTGGTTTCTCTTTTCCTTGACCTTTATCCTTTGACCTTGTACTTGTGGCATTGACTGTTTGTCAACGCCAATGGGACTGGATGTTGGGAAGGTTTCCAGAAACGCATGTCGCCGTGGAAATATGGTGGCACGAGCTTGTGGGTGGGTTGATTCCCAACATCTGACACATCTTGTTCAAGAGAACGCTTGCAAGATGCAGGGCAGGTGCCAATATTTTCTGTGATTTCATTGGGTGTACTCACCAAATTTTGGACAATCAATATTAAACATCCCTGATTTCTCTTGACCCTTGCAGCACGAGAAGCAGTCAACACACCCCTACTAGCGTGTTTCAAATACACATTGTCAGGGTTCCTATGGCGTTCCTATAGGAGCCATCAACATGCGTGATGGGCTGGTCATGTAGTGGACCCGGTGTTGCCTTGACCTGGCACTGGCCCCACTGGAGTTTGCTTGCATCGAATGAAACTCCCAACGATTCGCAGATTGTGAACAATGTGTGTAGGAAATTCCAAGACAGACCAGAACCCCGGAATTTTGAATGGGGGCCGTGGTTTCCGCGCCAAGGAAGACCAGCAGAGCTGCCGCGCATGAGTTGCTCATGTTGCCCTGGCTGAAACACGAATAGCCGGGCAATGACAAAAAATTGGAGCTTCCAGCTCAAAGCTGCGATCGTGACTGTCAGAGTTCCTCACCCGATGCCAAACGCTGTGCGGAATTTGGCGGTCACGCCTTGTACCTTTGAGTTGCCCCGCCGCCGCCTTTTTTTGGTGGGGGAACTCCAAGCTGGAGGGTGCTGCTGACGAACGAACCAACTTTTCAGCAGAAACTGGAGTTTGCCAGGAGGTTTTATCTACTCATTTCCCGAATTCCTGGGATTTGTTTTGCTGAGAAGACCATTTTAGTGGTAAATAAAAAGGTCCCATCCACTCAGGAAGTGAGTCTAATGGTTGCGGTTTCATGTGAGTTTGCAAGAGAGGAGGTCGCGCTAGGTCAATCAGAAGTGGCACCCTTTGTGAAGTGCAGAGTTCGGCGATTGACCATTTCGCGGGACTCCCTTCGACCTCAGAAAGATTGGAATCCCAATGGAGATGGGCTCGCCAGCGCAAGCGGAAAGCTAGCACCAGAGCAAGGAGCTTTCTTGAAAGCATTCGACGCAATGTGCATTCAATGCTCATCTACATTGCTTTACGATTGCCCTCGTGCCATTTAGAACTTACCTAAGATATCTCACGCCCAACATCGCCCCGCCCTCCCCTCATGCAGCCCTGACTCACGCACGCGGGAAAGCGCATCAATTTCAACTGGTTTCTGAAACGTTGGCTCTTGTCACTCCATTGCGACCCGCCTCCCGTTTGGGGGGGTTCCCGGTTCCTCAAATATGAACCCCACCAAAAGTTCCAACTCCTTTTCTAACATGCTTGGGAATGGGCAAGAAGATGTAGAGTCTTGAAGTGAGCTCTCAGTTCTAAGTTTCTGGGAGGTTGACTTGTGCGGTGGCATGGCATTTGCAGCGTACTCTCTCACTCTCTCTATATTCTTATATAGAGAGGGACCAGAGAGAGGGAGAGCGCGCACGCTTCTCTTTTTTGTTGCTGTTTGCTTTGTCAGTGAGACAAAGCAACAAGTCAATCTCCATTTCATCTCCGGGCTGGAGGTCAGGCCACTATTGGCTTTGGAACAGCTCAATTCAATGGGCTTTGGAAGGACGACAACCATGTCCATCCAAGCGTGATAATTTCCTGAAGGTTTCCAAGGGAGTAAAGTACCGCTCAGCAGATTTCAAGGTGCTGGGCACGAGAGGATTGGATTCGGAGACTTTATGGAGTTGCCAGCATGGCGAATGCAGCAACTCCTGTGGCTATTGACTCGGCTGGTTGTTGAAGCACGATCAGTTCAGCAATGAGTGAATTCCTTGGCGGTTCCCCGGTATACGTATCAATGGTATTGAGTCACGTCTCACTTTGGCGCGATGTCCCTGTAAAGGTAAGTGACCCAGCTTGGACATCTAGGCAAGATATTGTTTGTGTGGCAGATTCAGCAAGGCTTTTTGGTCTATGGCAAAAGGGTATGAGTTGTATAGCTATCACACGGGCCTTGCGCCAAACTGACGCAGGTAAGTATGCTAACCCCATGGTGTGAAACACAGAAATCAAGAAGCACGGGGGTGGAAGAGCTGTGGCGAACCTTATGTTCTGCCAGAAGGTTCTTGTGAAGTCTTGTAGTTGCGATAGCCCCCCTTTTAAACTGAAGGCCTGGAGCTTTACTATCGTCCAAACGCTTGGTTTGAGCTTACAGAGCTGCAGCTTTTCTCGGATATGAGCGATGAACCCCAGCCTTTCACCCTTGAAGTTGTGGCTCTCCCCGCTTCGGGACGGTCCGGATCTGGAGGTTTCCTTGGATTGGTTTCTCTGGCCCTCTTGGAGAAGCACATCTTGAGTTTGGGAATTTCAAGCTTCCGAAGAGGACCTTTACGTTTGTGAAGACCGTTTTGGTGTCCGAGTCAGGCGGCAGTTTCCGAAGAAGACTGTTTTAGTTGTTGAAGACTGTTTTTAGTCTCCGAAGGTTTTTTTAGTGTCCGCATCAGGCCTTTGTAGTTACCGAATCAGACCGTCTTACTTTCCGGAAGGGTGCTACAGTGTCCGAACCAGTTAGAAGGCTTTTTTTTGTGTCTGACTCAGCCTTTTTGTAGTCTCCGAAGGAATTTTGTACTTTCCGAATAAAGTCGTCACACAGCTCCTCTTGGCGTTTGCAGTGCCATGTTGGCCAAGGGAGCGTGAAGCCTGAAGCGGGAAACAAGTAGAGCGGATTGTCTAAGCGTAACCGTTGGTTGAACTCCACTCCTCTTGTCTGAATGCGTCTGCCCTGGGCAGAATACATGCGTGGGCGGCGTTGTTGTGTCCCCGCCTGGAGGCGAAGAGATTTCTGCATCTCTTGGAGGGTCTCGGACTTGAGAGAACTGCATTCTGGCTGTATCTGAAGTCACAAATTCATTGCCGTATCTGTCCGAGCCATTGCCAATGCGCGGAGAGTCAACTTGCCGAGCCTGCCAGCGGACGAAGGCGCGCCTTTTTTTTTCCGCTGGGTCCCATGCACGACCAAAGTGAACAGCTTGGATTGCCAGAAGCGCGCGCCAAGGCACAGCGTGGACAAAAGCCACTGGCCGAAATCGTTGAAATATGTTTCTTCGTTCATTCCCGAATCTGGAACTCAGCTGTTCACTGGTTCTCTGCTCACTCTGCCGAACGGGCAAAACAGCCAGTTCCGGCCATCCTCATAACACTAAGAGGCAGTCGTGAGCTTGGAGATTTCTTGTTTGCTGACCTTGAGGATGGCTACGGCAACAATAGACCCTTTGCAATCGGGACATGCCTGCGTCGATTTCTCACGAATCGTGTGGGCGTGCCAATCTGCAGCCCGCCAGTCTTCCTTTTGACTGTGTCGGGCCTTTCCCGGATCCGATCATTTTCCAGATTCGGATTTGGAGCGTTTCGGTGTGAAGGGGTGGTATACCTCGCGTGGAACCATATGGCCCGAAGAAACCCCGAGAGGCATCGCTGATGTGGCAAGTACTCTGCTTTTGGAATGGAACCGAATATGGACGTGTAGGTTCCGCTGTTTGCACACATGCAGGTAATCTTTCTTTTGTCAGGAGTGTCCTGCCCACAGCATGCCACCGGTCATTGCGGGGTAGCCACGAGAATTTGCAGCGGCCCGGCTTCCGCTTCGCAGTGTTTGCACACATGCAGGTCATCGTTTTTTTGGGTCAGACAGCCTTCAAAGTGTCCCGCCCCATGTGCTGTCCTCGGCCGTGGGGCATGCCAGTGGACCTTGCGGCTACGGTGGCCGTGAAAGCTTTTGCAGCGGGCGACGGGCTATGGTCGACAGATGTTGGTGTTCCTAAAGGGGGAGGCCTCCAAGTGTTCTAGAGGTTCCTTTCCCATTCTTTCCAGGGATCCTTCTTTCTAGACAACCTCCGGAACTCAGGGAGAACGGCCGGTTTTTGGAAAGCACGATGGTTGAAAAGAATGGGGAATCAACCCCTAGAAGTGTGTTTCCCTTTCAGGTGTGGGGGTCGCAATTTGAGGAGAGCCGCTCCGGAAACTTCCGACAGATCGCCGAAAGCAAACGGTATTGGCGAGCTACATCCCAGCAGATCAGTTGCGGTCAAGTCTATGAGGCCATCCTAAACTTATGCTGCACCCATGGGATGGATATCCACAGCGTCTCTCGCCAGACAATTGCTGCCACTTCTGCGACGAGTTCTGCAGGCTTCTAGGCCAAGCAGCTTGGGGGAGAGGTTGCGGGGATGGATTCAAAGAGAGCCAAGTCCAAGACCCCTGTCCAGTTTGGTTGCTAGAACTCAATTTGTCAGGGGGTCTTTGTCCAGTTTGGTTGCTAGAACTCAATTTGTCAGGGGGTCTTGTCCAGTTTGGTTGCTAGAACTCAATTTGTCAGGGGGTCTTTGTCCAGTTTGGTTGCTAGAACTCAATTTGTCAGGGGGTCTTTGTCCAGTTTGGTTGCTAGAACTCAATTTGTCAGGGGGTCTTTGTCCAGTTTGGTTGCTAGAACTCAATTTGTCAGGGGGTCTTTGTCCAGTTTGGTTGCTAGAACTCAATTTGTCAGGGGGTCTTTGTCCAGTTTGGTTGCTAGAACTCAATTTGTCAGGGGGTCTTTGTCCAGTTTGGTTGCTAGAACTCAATTTGTCAGGGGTCTTTGTCCAGTTTGGTTGCTAGAACTCAATTTGTCAGGGGGTCTTTGTCCAGTTTGGTTGCTAGAACTCAATTTGTCAGGGGGTCTTTGTCCAGTTTGGTTGCTAGAACTCAATTTGTCAGGGGGTCTTTGTCCAGTTTGGTTGCTAGAACTCAATTTGTCAGGGGGTCTTTGTCCAGTTTGGTTGCTAGAACTCAATTTGTCAGGGGGTCTTTGTCCAGTTTGGTTGCTAGAACTCAATTTGTCAGGGGGTCTTTGTCCAGTTTGGTTGCTAGAACTCAATTTGTCAGGGGGTCTTTGTCCAGTTTGGTTGCTAGAACTCAATTTGTCAGGGGGTCTTTGTCCAGTTTGGTTGCTAGAACTCAATTTGTCAGGGGGTCTTTGTCCAGTTTGGTTGCTAGAACTCAATTTGTCAGGGGGTCTTTGTCCAGTTTGGTTGCTAGAACTCAATTTGTCAGGGGGTCTTTGTCCAGTTTGGTTTGTCCAGTTTGGTTGCTAGAACTCAATTTGTCAGGGGGTCTTTGTCCAGTTTGGTTGCTAGAACTCAATTTGTCAGGGGGTCTTGTCCAGTTTGGTTGCTAGAACTCAATTTGTCAGGGGGTCTTTGTCCAGTTTGGTTGCTAGAACTCAATTTGTCAGGGGGTCTTTGTCCAGTTTGGTTGCTAGAACTCAATTTGTCAAGTTTGGTTGCTAGAATTGAACTCAATTTGTCAGGGGTCTTTGTCCAGTTTGGTTGCTAGAACTCAATTTGTCAGGGGAAGCTTTGTCCAGTTGGGTTGCTAGAACTCAATGTGTCAGGGGGTCTTTGTCCAGTTTGGTTGCTAGTACTAAATTTGTCAGGGGGTCTTTGTCCAGTTTGGTTGCTAGAACTCAATTTGTCCGGGGGTCTTTGTCCAGTTTGGTTTGCTAGAAACTAATTCTGAACTCAATTTGTAAGGGGGATCTTTGTCCAGTTTGGTTGCTAGAACTCACTTTGTCAGGGGGTCTTGTCTTGCCCCAGGTTTGGTTGCTAGAACTCAATTTGTCAGGGGGTCTGTTGTCCACAAACAAGATGACACTCAATTTGTTCAGGGGGGTCTTAGTCCAGTTTGGTTGTAGAATCAATTTTTCAGGGGGGTCTTTGTCCAGATTGGTTGCTAGAACTCAATTTTGTCCGGTTGGTCTTAGTCCAGTTTGGTTGCTAGAACTCAATTTGTCAGGGGGTTCTTTTGTCAGTTTGGTTGCTAGAACTCAATTTGTCAGGGGGTCTTTGTCCAGTTTGGTTGCTAGAACTCAATTTGTAAGGGGGTTCTTTTGTCGTTTGGTTGCTAGAACTCAATTTGTCAGGGGGTCTTTGTCAGTTTGGTAGCTAGAAACTCAATTGGTCAGGAGGTCTTTGGTCCAGTTTGGATGCTAGAACTCAATTTGTCAGGGGGTCTTTGTCCAGTTTGGTTGTAGAACTCAATTGGTCAGGGGTCTTTGTCCAGCTTGGTTGCTAGAAACTCAATTTGTCAGGGTGGGGGGTGGGGTTTTTGTTTTTTCCTTTGTTCCAGTTTGGTTGCTAGAAACTCCAGTTGTCAGGGGGTCTTTGGTCCAGTTTGGTTGCCTAGTAGAACTCAAATTTGTCAGGGGTGGGTCTTTGTCCAGTTTGGTTGCTAGTACTCTATTTGTCAGGGGGGTCTGGTCTTTGTTCCCCAGTTTGGTTGCTAGGAATCAATTTGTCAGGGGGTCTTTGTACAGTTTGGTTGCTAGAACTCAATTTGTCAGGGGGTCTTTGTTCCTGTTTGGTTGCCTAGAATCCAAATTTGTCCAGGGGGGTCCTTTTGGCCAGTTTGGTTGCTAGAACTCAATTTGTCAGGGTGGTCTTTGTCTGTTTGGTTGCTAGAATCAATTTGTCAGGGGGTCTTTGTCCAGTTGGTTGCTTTAGAACACAATTTGTCAGGGGGGGGTCTTGTCAGTTCGGTTGCTAGAATCAATTTGTCAGGGGGTCGCTAGAAACTCATTTGTCAGGAGGTTTTGTCCAGTTTTGGTTGCTAGAACTCAATTTGTCAGGGGGTCTTTCTCCAGTTTGGTTGTTGCTAGAACTCAATTTGTCAGGGGGTGTATGTCCGTTTTGCGTTGCCTAGAACTCAATTTGTTCAGGGGGTCTTTGTCCAGTTGGTTGCTGGAATCATTTGTCAGGGGGGTCTTTGTCCAGTTGGTTGCTAGAACTCAATTTGTCAGGGGGGTCTTTGTTCCAGTTTGGTTGCTAGACCTCAATTTGTCAGGGGGGCGGGGTCTTTGTCCGTTTGGTTGCTAGAACTCAATTTGTCAGGGGGTCTCTAGAACTCAATTTGTCTGCTAGAACTCAATTTGTCAGGGGGTATTGTTCCAGTTTGGTTGCTAGACTTCAATGTTTCAGGGGTCTTGTCCGTTTGGTTGCTAGAACTCAATTTGTCAGGGGGTCTTTGTCCAGATTGGTTGCTTAGAACTCAATTTGTCAGGGGGGTCTTTGGTCCAGTTTGGTTGCTAGAACTCAATTTGTCAGGGGGTCTTTGTCCAGTTTGGTTGCTAGAACTCAATTTGTGAGGGGGTCTTTGTCCAGTCCCAGTTTGGTTGCTAGAACTCAATTTGTCAGGGGTTCTTTGTCAGTTTGGTTGTAGAAACTCAATTTGTCGGGGGGTCTTCTTTGTCCAGTTGGTTGGCTAGAGAAACTCAACTTTGTCAGGTCTTTGTCCAGTTTGGTAGCTAGAACTCAATTTGTCCAGGGGGGGATTTTTTCTTTTGTCCAGTTTGGGCTTGCCTAGAACTAAATTCTGTCAGGGGGGTCTGTTGTCCAGTTTGGTTGCTAGAAACTCAATTTGTCAGGGGGTCTGTGACCTGTTTGGTTGCTGTAAGGGAAAAAAAAATTCACCCCAAAAAATTTTGTATTTTTTTTTTGTTTTGCAGGGGGGGTATTTTGTCCAGTTTGGTTGCTTAGAACTCAATTTGTTCAGGGGTCTTTGACCAGTTTTGGTTGCTAGAACTATTTGTCAGGGGTTTTGTCCGATTGGTTGCTAAGAACGCAATTTGTCAGGGGGTCTTTGTCCAGTTGGTTGCTAGAACTCTATTTGTCCAGGGGGGTCGGTCTGGTCGGGTCTTTGTCCAGTTTGGTTGCTAGAACTCAATTTGTTTGTCAGGGGGTCTTGTACAGTTTGGTTGCTAGAATCATTTTGTCAGGGGGTGCTTTGTCCAGGGTGGTTGCTTAGAACTCCATTGTCAGGGGGTCTTTGTCCCGTTTGGTTGCTCTAGAAAACTCCATTTGTCAGGGGGGTTCTTTGTCCAGTTGGTTGCTAGAACTCAATTTGTCAGGGAGGGTCTTGTCAGTTGTGGTTGCTAGAATTCAATTTGTCAGGGGGGACTTTGTCCAGTTTGGTTGCGGAACTCAATTTGTCAGGGGGTCTTTGTCCGTTTGGGTTGCAAGAACTCAATTTGTCAGGGGGGATCTTTGTACAGGTTTGGTTGGCTTGAAACTCAATTGTCAGGGGGTCTTTGTACCAGTTTGGTTGCTAGAACTCACTTTGTCAGGGGGTCTTTGTTCCAGTAGTTGGTTGCTAGAACTCAATTTGTCAGGGGGTCTTTGTCCAGTTTGGTTGCTAAAACTCAATTTGTGGGGGGGGGTTTGTCCAGAGTTGGGCATTTGGTTGCTAGAACTAATTTTGTCAGGGGGTCTTTGTCCAGTTTGGTTGTGTACTCAATTTGTCAGGGGGTCTTTGTCCAGTTTGGTTGCTAGAACTCAATTTTTTGTAGGGGGGGTCTTTGTCCAGTTTTGGTTGCTTAGAACTTAAATTTGTCAGGGGGTCTTTGTCCAGTTTGTTGCTAGAACTCAAATTTGTCCCCCGGGGGGGTTTTGTCAGTTTGTGGGTGAGTTAGAACTCAATTTGTAGGGGGGGTTCTTTGTCAGTTTCAGTTTGGTTGCTAGAGAACCATTTGTCAGGGGTCGTTTGTCCAGATTGGTTGCTAGAACTCAATTTGTCACGGGGTCGTCTTTGTCCAGATTTGGTTGCTTCAGAACTCAATTTGTCAGGGTGGTCTTTGTCCATGTTTGGTTGCTAGAAATCAATTGTCAGGGGTGTCTTTGTCCAGTTTGGTTGCTTAAACTCAACTTGTCAGGGTGGTCTTTGTCCAGTTTGGTTTGCTAAACTCAATTTGTCAGGGGTCTTGTCCAGTTGGTTGCTTAGCTAGAATTCAATTTGTCAGGGGGTCTTTGTCCAGTTTGGTTGACTGCTTCTGGGAGTTCAGGGGGTTTCTTTGTTCCAAAGTTTGGTTGCTAGACTCCAATTGTCTAGGGGGGTTCTTTGTCCAGTTTGGTTGCTAGAACTAACTTTGTCAGGGGGTCCTTGTTCTTGGTTGATAGAGTCTCCAATTTTTTCACGGGGGTCTTGTCCAGTTTGGTTGCTAGAACTCAAATTGTCAGGGGGGGTCTTTGTCAGTTAGGTTGCTAGAAACTTCAATTTGTAAGGTGGTCTTTTGTCAATTTAGTTGCTAGAACTCAATTTGTCAGGGGGTCTTTGACCAGTTTGGTTGCTAGAACTCAATTAGTCAGGGGGTCTTTGTCCAGTTTGGTTG